TTTTTTTTGCCATATTTTTCCTATATAAGAGTAATGGTACTTGTTGCCTAGATTACTAAATGCAAATTCATGTTCTTGCAGTAATATAATTAATTAACTCTTCTCATGACAGTAGAGCTAAAACCATCTTTTAGTGCTTAGTCGTGTTTGAGAAGGAAAATGTTTGCTGGCATCTTTTTGGAGAGGTGAACGTTGGTACGAGTAGTCATTACCTTTCAGTTATCTGGCTGGCAGTTTCTTAAAAGCTTCAACTTCAACTATTGGAATTTAGGCCAGCCCCAAGCTATACATTTTTATTACTTGTTCTGTTCTCAGAATATGGAATCCATTTGTGCAATCTGACCTACATCTCCTTGCGTTTGAGGGTGTTACTAGAACTGACATAAATGTTCAGTATGCTGAAGAGCAGGATGCTCGATGTGGACTTTTTGAACGCAAGCTCGCTTACACAGTTTATAAAAATTGAGAACCGTGTCTTAAAGTTTCAAAAGGATCACTCATGTGCATATGGTAGTATAGCATGTACATGCAAATTTTCGTAACGACATGTGCTACTTTGAGATTGCACATGATTTATATGCATGTTTTTTGTCAATAACTTCAAGAAGTGCACAGTTTTCTCTCCCTTTGGTCCAATATCTGAATAATCTGTTCAGATGATGATGAGGCATGTCCAGACTTGCATTTTTCTTTGGCCCACGAGATGAAGATGGCTTCTGCATGCTGGCTGACCGATAAATCTGAAACGAACCTTGTGAACGGAAATATTACTACTATAGTAAATTATTAAACCATTTTAGCAAGGAATGTCAATGCAATTATCATAACAAATCCAGTTTCATATAATTGAACAGGAAAATAAGCAATGTGGAAGAGGTATTGTTTGTCTCTCTTCCATATTCTCTTTATGTACTCTTTCATATTTTCCTTATTTGTGGGTAATCGTTTCATACAGTTGACCCTTATTAGTGCATATGCTGGAAAATTGCTTTGTTGTGTTGAAGAGCTGGATGCCATTAGGTCTAGTCAACAGGAAAGATGGTCACCAGCTGGTAGGTGTTCTTGGCTTTTATCAGTAAGTTTGGTTCATCTTATCCGTGTGTGTCTGAGGTGATATTGTGAGGAATCCAGTTTTTTGCAGCATCAACTTTGTACTATGTAGTTTAATTTGCTCCCAAATGCATCTGCATACTACTGTACATGTTTGTTCTCCCAGCTTTGATCAGGAGGTCGAGAGCTAGAATTTTCTGCTGCCAAGAGATGATAATGGTTTCTTGTATATTTGGGTCTGTCATCGATGGACTATCATCCATGGATCCCGGCAACGGTGAGATAAGAGAAGAGGTCTTAAACATGAGGGCGGAATTATGTATGTTGCCAGAAAATAAGTGGTGGAAACTTTGAGAGCGATAGATGGATGGTGCATGATTATTGTCTATCCGGGATACATAAACAGATTTTTCAGCTATTATCGACAGCCATGATTTTATGCACTGCAAACGGACTTTTAACACTGTCGCTCACACTTTAGCGATATTGCTGAGCCTACTGGTTAAAAATCTGTTTAATAGTAAAAAAAAAACTCAGAAGAGTCTCGGTATCCCTTCACGCCAGCTGCGATCAGGCTGGGCTTGCACACACGCTTGCCAGCCCAATGGCATCAGGCCCGTGACAGGGATTGGGATTGGTCAGAGGTCCAGCTCAACTTAAACCTCTCAGCAATCAGCCGGATTTGCCTAAAAAAAATCAGCCGAAACGACGGAAGAGGGATGATGACGCTTGGAATCCTCGGAACAGCCGGGCCGCCGTCGTCCTGATCGCCGTCAAGGGAACAATCCACATCGATCAGATCCGCCCCGGCCGGCCGCGCCACTTGAAACCCTCGCCTCCGCTGCCGGACGATCTCCTCGAGGAAATCTTCCTTCGCCTCCCGCCAGACAAGCCCACGTGCCTCGTGTGCGCCTCCCTCACCAGCAAGCTCTGGCCCAGCCGCCTCACTGGCCCTCACTTCCGGGGCCGCTACCGCGAGTCCGCGAGTTCCATGGTGCTCCCCCCATGCTGGGCTTCCTTTAGTCGCGGTCCCGGGACTGCGAGCCGGAGGAGAGATACCGCGTCCCACGCTTCGTGTACACCCCACGGAATTCGCTGCCCGTGTTCCCAACGACCACTATGGGAACTTGGGGTGCCCGGAATATGTTGTGTTGGACTGCTGCCATGGCCGCGTTCTCCTTGCGGATTGTAATGCACCCATGCCGCTTATCGTTTGGGACCCCATGACAGGCCGCCGGACCAAGCTGGAGGGGCCCAAAGCGTGCAATTTCAACCTGGCCATCGGTAGCGGGGTCGCGGTGCTATGTGCTGTGGCCTGCTGTGACCATCGCGCGTGTCATCAGGGCCCTTTCCGGGTTGTCTTCTTCGGCATGAGCATTCATGGTGGCCAAAGCGTTATACACATGTCCATGTCCTCGCCGGAGACGGTGGGTGGAGCGAGCCGTGCCCTGATCTTGATCTTGGCAACAACGCATGCATCATGCTAGTGCCCCCCGTCTTCATCCAAGACACACTTTACTTCATGCATACACGTGCGTCTGGTTTTCACATACAAGGAATTCTCAAGTATGATTTGGGTTCTAATTGCTTATCGCTAATTGATGTGCCCATGGTGGGGGTTCTTGGTTTCACTACCCTCATGGCTATGGAGGACGGTAGTTTGGGTTTTACACTAGTGGGTAGGTTAACTAACATCTACCTATGGTCAAGGCAGATGGGTTCTGACGGAGTTGCATCATGGACTAAGCGTACAGTCATCGAACTCAAGAACCTTCTTCCCATCCAGGATCCTCATAGAGGACTTACACTGATTGGATCTTCGGAGGGCGGTGATATCGTTTTCGTGACAACATACCTTGGCATCTACCAGATTAATCTAAAGTCGCTACAATGGAAGAAGCTACAGAAGAGAGAAAATTTTAGTGGTCTATTTCCGTACATGAGTTTCCACAATCCAGAAGGTATATCTATATGTCCTTTCTTTTGTGATATGGGGACAACTCTTTATGTGATATGTTACGCAATCTCGGGTCCGCTAACACCAGCGTTTCCGAACCACCTGCGTCATCAGGCCCAACCGGAGAGGAACACCGACTTATGACAGGCCTTGGACCCTCTCCCCCCAAAAGACTAGCCTATTAGGAGGGGAAACCCCCACCCTTATAAGTCGTGTTATGTCTCCCCCCAAAACCGATGTGGGACTAAACCCAACAATCTCCCCCTCACACATGGGTCACCCATGGGCCCGCTAACACCAGAGTTTCCAGCACACCAACCATGACCGACCACCCGTGAGTCCACCGAGATTTATTCCGGGCACCTGGGCTCTGATACCAATTGTTACGCATCTCGGGTCCGC